AGAGAGAGAGAGAAGAATTTGCCACTTTGAGATGGTTGGAATAGACTTGACTGGCTAAAACTCTTTCTCCGAACAAAGCAACGGCTTCTTTCACGGTTTTAAACGGCGCCGTCGTGTCGATCACTGCTCTCTTCATCGTCGTCTCCATTATCATATAGTTGCTTACCTTCTCTCTGTGTGAAGAAGTAGAGAGATACATAAGCTTTGCTTATAGCTTTGGTGACTTTAGAACTGAGTGAGAGACTACGCAAAGCATATTATTTTCTTCAACTCCACTTCTTTAGAATTCTCTTCTTTTTTATTACCTTTTTAGTTTTTTTTGTAGAATATATAGACGATTCTTCATAAAAACATATTACTCTAATACCCTGTTTTTTCTTTAGAATAGATAATTAGCATCATTAAATTGTTAATTATGTATTAGAAAACCTTGCTTGCTGAATAAGAAACTTAAAGAAATGTAAAAAGAAAAAACGTAAACCTAGCATTTTTGTTCTATGACTGTCTCTGTCTCATTTCAGAAAACGTGGAGCATTTACATAAAAAGACATTAAAGGGTTTTCTCAAACAAGTGGGATTCAATCATCTCTCACTGACAAATCATTGATCATCAAATTCCGGCCAAGACAGAACATAACTCTGTTTTTCTTTTCTCAGAACTAACTTAACTACAAAGCAAAGCATCACCTTCACGAATGCTCGTTGCAAAGTAGTTGCAATGGTGTTCTTGTATCTTCATAGATTAGTGGGAAATGGTGTTCTTGTCTGTTCAGCACCGTCCGCGAAGGATTGTTGTTGTTATGGTGATGGCTCATTGACATTGCTGCAGCCATGAGACGATGTTGCTGTTGTTGTTGAGATACATTGTTGTTGTACCTTGACGAAGAACCAACGTGTAGAGGTTGAATACTAGCCAGGTTTAAGGAGAGGTTTGGTTTACTGTACTGGTTCGATGATTGCGTGGTGTTCCCATTTGTTTGTCTGTACTGAGAAGCAGCCCATAGCCTTTTTTGAAGCTGTTGTTGCTGCTGCTGGTTCGCGTTGTAAGCGGTTTGGTATCGACTTGGTAGATAAGGAGAAATCTGCAAGATTATGTAACCTGAACCATTAGTTACAAGCAAAACTTTGTTCAGTAGAGAGACAATTTGAGTCAAAGTAACAAACTTGATGGCTAGAAGTTGAAGGTGAGAGGTGGCTATTGTAAGCTGCAGAGATAGGATACTGTGGAAATGAGTTTTGAAGTTGGAAATGAGATTGAGATGCTCCAGAAGACGAGAGAGATAAGAAATCGTAGCCCTGTCATCAAAAAGAGATTCGAATCAGCGAAGAAACGAGTAATTAGATAAGAACAGTGATGTATAGTTTACCTGTTTCTGTGAAGTATTCGGTCCGTAGAGCTCGAGAGCTATCGGAGTAATGTCTTCTTGCACAGGTTTTGCATTATATGTCCTGTGTAAATCGAGCATATACGGGTTTTGGTACCTCTTTGGTGGAGAAACCATTGTTTTGAAGTCACTAATGGTAGTCACCGGGTCAGGGAGTATGCGTTCTGACATTTCTGAAGATCTTTGCTCGATTTGCTGGAGTGTCGCGGGACTACTCTTACTGTTCTGTAATACTTTAATGAGCCGGGAAATGTAAATGTGAGAGGCACATTTCTTCAACTTTCTCGGCTGGATTCTTAACGGTTCATTCAAAACTGAAGCATTCTTGGAAGGAGAAACAGCTTGATCCATCCAAGGTGGAAGCTTTACAGATAATGGCCTGATTTACGAAAGAACGATCCACACATATAAGAGAAGTAACCGAGGAGAAGCACAAAACTGGAATTTAACAAACAATTTTGAAGGTTAAGAGTTACTTTGAAAGAACTTGAGAACAAGATTGAACTGTTGAAGATAGACCAGGCCATAATGCAAGACCTTTTAGAAGCATAGAAGCCGGTATTAGAACAACGGTTTTTAACTCAAAGAGTATATTGTGATACAAAGTTCGGTATTTTTTTACCGTTGCTTTCACTTGTTGCAACCTTTGTTTCCATGGCTCTTGCCTACAATATTCAATGGAATCATCGGCTAAGTGAATCTGAAACCAAGAAAGTAAGATTTAGAGTGGCATTGTACTTACGGATGATAAATCAGTTGCATTCACGAAGCTGCTCTGCTTCAATCTATCAATGAAATCAACCATTCTGAAAAAATCAGACAACAATCAGAGTAAAACAGACAAAATCAAATGACAAATTACATAAGTAATTGGCTACAAACCCCGTTGAGCTTCGCGGTTTATCGGATTGCTCTAACGGCATTTCATCAATCAGATTAGTTTTGGCTGAAAAGAGAACTGATTCGGCTTTTGTAAAGTTGGATTCCATAATCAAGCTTGAATCAACCTTGCTGGTTTCTTTCTCATTAGACAAAGGATCACAAATCTTTTTATCAATAGAGTCAGTCTCAGTAAACATTCCAGCTAAACCGTATAACGTCTCTGCAACTTCTTTCTCGTCTTTCGAAATCATCATCGACTCAGAAACAATACCTTTTGCTTCCTAATACCAAAACAAACAAAAATCACTACTCAAAGTTTTTAAGTATTCAACAAAAAAATTGAAGTCATGATCAACAAACCAAACCATTTCTTGTTCCTCCTTCTTTATCAAATCCATCTTAAAAGATTCAATTCCGGTTTTCGACTGGTTAAGTCTCTTTGAAGCAGAGGATAACTTAGAAACAGAATCAAGATTCCGCTTCTTCATGGCTGCAAATTAAAAGTGCACAATAAAGTGAAAAAGTATAAAGAAAAAAAAGGAAAATGCAGGTTTCTAATTCAACTTTGGTATCTCAGTTTTACAAAAAGAGTGTTCCAAAATTGATAAAGACAACACTTTAATGAAGAGAAGAAGATTTTATATAATAATATCAATAGTTTTTGTGTTTGATAAGAAGATGATCACTTTTGATTTTTATAAGAAGTGAGGAAAAATGAACATAAAAGACAAGTAGAAGAATCTTGCGTCCAT